GTCCCTGGGTACACTGCTGCCCACCGCGGGCAGCGGGACCGTGCAGAAAGCTTTGCAAAACGCTGCTTGGATGGGCCCAGGAGTGTTGCTGGTCCCACCTTGTACGCCCCTAGTCCTGCTCCCAGGGCGCAGAGCTTTGCCCCCCCTGGTGAGGATGTTGGGGTCCTGATGCCCGATGCCAACTGGGGGCTGTGGGCAGTTTGCGGCCAGGGTCTGGGGACCAAATCCTGCGCTGGGCAGGGACGCGTGTCCAGGAGCTGGTGGGTGCTGTGTTAGAGCCAAGGGAAGGCAGGTCCTGCGGCACGGCCAGCACAGCCGCATGGAGCCCGGCCGGGGCGGCAGGAGGGGCCGAGGTGGGTGCTGGGGCTGCGGAGCCGTCCCGGGGCCAGCGCTCCCACTCAGCTCGGCCGTTGCATTTTTCAGCATAATTAGGCAGTTAATTGCACACCAGAATGTAATCGACGCGCTGCATGTGCAACCAGGATTTATTTTGAAGCGCTTCGGGTGCGACACTCCTGCCATCTCCTCCAGATCAAGCCAGCAGGGAGAGGCTTGAGTTTTAAACTTTTTTTTTTTTTTTTGTTATTTTGAATGTCCTTGATTATTAAGTGTTTACGGAATGGAGGAGATAAATGAACACGGGCGACACACCACCACGAGCGGTTCTGATAAAATGTGCGTTACAGCCACGGAGGCAATTGACTGAGAACAAACGGCAGCGTCAAACAATGCGAGACGATGTAAATCATATGCAGGAACCACCGCGTCAGGCACCCCCTTGGCCATTTTTTATCCGCCAAAACACACTTGGTGCTGGAGGTGCCGGCAGCGGCTCTGCCCGGAGCCACCGCGCTTTGCGGGGATGCGGAAAGGGAAACCGTCACCACCCTTTGCCGTAGCAAACATGATGGGTCTGGGTTTATTTTTTAACCCCTTGAGTTCTTTAAACCCGTTGTTTTGCTGCTGAGCAGCGGGTGCGTTGCAGGACCGAGCTGGGGCTGGGCACCGCTGTGGCTGTCAGTCTGTCCCGGCCCGTGTGGGGGTCTCTCCCCTGGTTCCCGTGGGGCAGCGCGGGCCGTCACCCTCCTGCCCAAGCCGGCAAAGCCGTGGGTGTTATGACCGGTCATAGAATTATCCCTCCTGCTCATAATGGAGCTGTGGGCTGAGGCTCGGTGACCTGCTGTGGGCATTGGCTCCACCGCCCCCACGGCACCAGCAAATTGAGGGTTTCTTTTATTCGTTTGCAATTTCCCAGGCGTTAATTTTGGTGACTTCTTGCTCTTCCAACACAAAGGGGTTTTTTTGAAGCTCCTTTCCCGTGATGGCCTCGGTGCCCTGGCACGCTCACCCCAAGGCCAGCATCTTGCCTCCCTCCCTCCCCGCAGCCCCTCTGCGCAGCCCCCGCCTGCCCCCTGCCCCGTCTTGGGCACAGCTTCGGGCTCCTCCTTGCCCCCC